ATCAAACTCGGGTCCTCTGCAAGTGCAGTACATGCTCTTAACCACTGAGACATCTCTCCAGTTACCCAATAACAGCTTTGCTGAGTATGTACTTTGAGTATGCATTTTTGTGTATTGTTCTGACTTTTTAGAGTCGTATAGTTATGGCTTGGATCTGATATGTTCTCTACAGATATGGGTTTTGAATGCTTGCTCCCCTGGCTTGTGGTAGTGTTTTGAAGGTTGTACTAGTTAGGGTTTATGTTGCTAGATGCTATCATCACACCACCATGACAAAAGCAAGTTGGAGAGGACAGGGTTAATTTGGCTTGCACTTCCACATCATAGTCCATCACCTAAGGAAGTTGGGACAGGAACTCAAACAGGACAGGATCCTGGAGGCAAGAGCTGATGCAGATGTCGTGGAGGGGTGCTGCTTACCGGCTTGCTCCCCATGGTTGTTCAGCCTGCTGTCTTATAGAACCCAGGACCACTGGCCCAGAGATGGCACCACCCACAATGAGCTGTGCCCCCCACCAATCACTAATTAAGAAAATGCCCTACATGCTTGCTTACAACCCAATATTCTGGAGGCATTTTCTGAATTGAGGTTCCCTCTTCTCAGATGACTTTAGCTTGGGACAAGTTGACATAAAAGTAGGCAGCACAAAAGTAGCACAGCTTTTAGGACAAGGTCCCGGCTGGTGGCAGTGGGTCCATAGAGGCAGGTCTTTGAAGGTTCCAGCCACTCCTTGTTCTGTTCTCTACCTCCTGCCGTAGGTCTATTTCATGGTCTACCATAGTGAAGGAATGTCTGCCACTCAATCTGATCGCCATAGGATGAGTTCCCACCAAGTCGGACTGACATCAATACAACCATGAGCCAAAATAATTCTCCTTCCCTTAAGTAGCTTCCTTGGGTCATCATGTGTTATCAGAAGGATAGCAAAATGAAAGAATATGCATGTTTCACCAGCACAGATTAATATGGACAAAGAGATCTCAATTGGAATACAGACAGGCACCCAGGAACTTCCCTATTTTTGTTACAGCTGCAATGAATGGGTAGAAGGCAATAATATGGGTGCTATGGACTGAACTGCATTTCTTTGAATATTCATATCTTGAAGTCCAGTGTAACTATATTTGAAGGTAGAACCTTTAAGGAGTTAGGATTAATTGAGCATGTAAGTGTGGAGCCTTATAAGAATAGGAAGAAATTTTACAAGTGTATGTGTATAGAAATGGTTATCTCCTGCTGGGTGGTGGTGGTGAGGGCTCGCACTTGGGAGGCAGAGGCAGACAGATCATGAGTTCAAGACCAGCCTTGTCTACAAGGCAATTTCTAGGACAACCAGGGCTAACATAGAGAAACCCCATATCCAAAAGCCAAACCAAACTAAACCAAAACAAAAAAAGGCCAGCTCCATGTCCAGGAGACAGAAACCAATGCTGCTGACAATTTCCTCATTATTTATCAACCTCCAGAACTATAATAAATTTCTTTTTTTATTTTAACAGGCTTTATTTATTTTAC